AATATTTTTCAAGACCCCTGAAAGAGCTCATCAATTGGAAATACTGGTATGGCTCCCTACACAGGATTTTCCTCCCATAGTCCTTCCAATATCCCTGTCCTTGCTCTGGTGTGATGTGTTCTTTTCTTTTCTTAATTCATAATCTCTTTGGAGATGTACAGTAATTTTAACACATTCATTTTTCTATTCCACCTCATATGCAGACTCTGTCCTACTGTATGTATCAATGCTATTTGCTGACATTTGACGAAGCCATCCACCAGAGTGAGCTAACTTTGACAATGTATTGTTTGTTGGTGGAATATGGAAGAAAGGGATAGAGTGTTTCGGAATCCTAGTAAGCGTAGTTGTGATGACAGTATTACTGTGAAGGCATGTTATCCCAAGAGCTATTGTGCTCATGTAATACTTCTTCAAACTTTGGTTATAATCTTTCCAACAGTGCCTCGCGAAAATACCAAAAATAAAGTCTGAAACTGTTACACTTCATCAACAGAATCTTTATGTATAATCACTCTGAGAATTCTACTGAAAAGGTTCAACAAAAGGCCACTCATATTAGCATAACTTTTAAATTTGTTCTGTGTACTACTATTAAACTATAAAAAAAAAAAAAGATTAGCACGATTTCATTGATAGGCAAAATGAATATGTTATTGTATTGTGTTTGAATGTATCAACCTATGACATTTTACTGCCTTCAATTTTTAAAAGACAAATTCACTTCAACACACTTGGATTATATATTTCAGACGTGCCTTTGCTCGAACAGATGCATTGAAGTTCTCAGCTTTTTATAAACTTCAAATTATTGTATTAAGAAAAGCTTAATATGTTAGTGATGCAACTGTCTTTGGTCAACTACTTTATTAAGCTGCTCAGAGAAAAAAATTAGTGTTCAATGACTGTCCAATCACCCTGACTTGGCCATACAGAGTCACCTAATGTTTTTTGTATCTGATTATATCAATTTTAATTAGTTCTTTTATTAATACATTTTATACATCAATCCTATTTTCCCACAATGTTTTAAAGAGTCACTCCGAGAGAAATATATTTCATCCTCTGAAATTATTAAAATAAATTTCATTACATTTAAGATGTGTGTACATTTGTGTGGTTAAATTTTGGAGAGTTACTCTAGAGACTAACTTTCTGTTATTTTTATAATGAAAAATGCAATAAAGAAAGACATGAACTATCTATATTATAAATTGAGTAAGGCCTTAAAATTGAGTAAGGCCTTAAAATTGAGTAAGGCCTTAATGTTTGTGCCGATTTTCCGTCCAGACACGTGCACAGCTCTGGAATAATATCGTAGCACCATTCTTTTAAATGTCTTATTATTACCGGCATATTTTGAGCTCATATTTATGCCTTTTAAAATATAAAAAGCAATTTTACGAATCTACAAAATATTGGACGAGGACTTGTCATGCTACAAAGGCAACACATGTGAGAATTCATTATTCAAATTACGTTAGTACAGCATGGTGAAAGGAGCAGCAGAGTACCACTTCAGTGATCGCGGCTGATACAACACATATATGTTCACTAAATAATGTAATAAAAATATTATAAACTCGTGAATAAAAATAAGTCAATACAACACGAATAAGAAATGTCTATATCCATCAAATTTAGCATGTATTGTATTATCCATTTTTTACCTTATTCTTTACCAGCAGGCCTATGTCTATCTTACCTGCTTTAACATTATAAACAAAATTATTATTGGTGGCTCTTCTTTATTTGAAAGGTAATTTGACTTTCATTTGCAAAGGTCTATAAACTATAGTTCGACTGGGTTTTACAGAATGATTATTTAAATGATACACCTGGGTGGATTCATAGGCGGCAAAGACTGTTCCCCCAATTCATTTAAACTTACGTTATTTATACAGGAGTTCCTGCAATATAATGGAATAAAACATATTATAAAATGACCATGTTAATCACTAAAATAAGTCAATATGTGATGAAAGAATCTAGACCACATCCATCACAACATTATATCATGCATTATATAATATACTTTTTACCATATTCTTACCAATAGAGATAGGCCTAGAATCTTACCAGCTTTAACATTAAACAAAATTATTATTGGCTCATGTTCTTACTTTTTGACTTTCATTTGCAAAGGTCTTTCTAACATTACAGTTAAAGACGAAGCAGTATTCAATATTATGCAGTAGAATATTCCGTTATGGCAATGCTTGCAACATTTGGCTGATTGTGCTTCACATATTTTCTGGGCGGATCCATAGGGAGTGATGGTCGTCGACATCTGGTCCTCCCACCACCCTTAACATGTTAGAGCAGGGGCGGATTTTGGGTTGGCGTTATCTCGATAGGCCCCACTTTGGACCTCCTTTTGCGCTCCTACCCTCTTTTTTTAGACATCTCTGGATCCGGATCCTGTAGAGTGCTTTTAGCTACCAAAAAAGTGTAAATAGGCAGCAGCTTTTTTCTTCTTTAGGGGAGGGGGGAGGGTAATTCATGAGCATAATGTTCAGGCTAAAATTATTGCTGGCTTTTAAACTGCTCAAACGATGGGAGTGTGAAAAGGCAATAGACGGTCCCGTAAGTCATTTAAACTTATTTCATTCATTCTTTCATTAAAACTTATTTCCTTTATTCTTTCATTAAAACTTAGTTCATTCATCCTGCAAATAATCTGGATTAAATACCTCGCGGCCTTTTCACGAGTGAGCCTTAAACTCTGTAACATGTAACCTACCTACCATGCTCGGCTATATTGTGCAGATATAAATAATGAAATGCTTTTCATTTTGTCAAGTGCTTTTAAGCCTGTATCTATCAATAAATGGAATTGACTAAAGTTTGGGTTTTTTTTTTGTGAGGGGCAGGGAAAGGGCTCTCAGCAGTAGTTCCTTTTCAGCCTACACTTGTCATTATATTAGTGATAAAATGTAAATTCTTGAGCAGTCCGTCCTTGATAGACTGTAAAGTAGAGCGTGATCTCTAAATATGTTTGCTGTCCATGATTGGCAATGCTACAGTGATTTAGATGATTGGTCCTGTTAATATTTTAGGCATGGAAGAATAACTAAATGAAATTAAATGATGCATGCTTATGCTTGTGACAATATAATTAGAAATTAACAACTAAATACTATAATCATCAAACTAGAAAATAGATTATTATTATTATAATATTATTATTATTATTATTATTATTATTATTATTATTATTATTATTATTATTATTATTTACTGCACAATGTCTTATAATGGTCCATCCAGGAGTTGTTCATATGATCATTCAAACCCAAAAATCACACAAACAATAGTGATGCATAATAATAACTTCTTTGTAATGTATAATAATTGAATTAAAACAATACAACTTTTATGGTAAAAATTAAATATATAAGATTTTGAATAATATATTAAATAAGTTTCTATCTCTAATGATGTTATTTTATAATACCCTGTAGCATGTGTCATGAATCAAGTTTATGTCTCTAACGTATAATCAACATAATAAAAAGTGGCCTTGAAACCTGCATTGAAATCTATGCAAGTACAATTTACAACTCATAATACAACTGCAATCTCACTGGAGTTTGTGTTGGTGGGAGAGGGAAGCCAGGGTCATAGAAAGTTCAAGTCTACTTACACAATGTATTAAAATAATTCTGAAGTAAAAATAGGATATCAATAAAATGTTATTATGTCAAGAAAATAATTAAATAAAATATGAGAAGCGTTGGCAGGTTTAATGCATTCCCCTTTCCCCCAGTTTTTAAATACTCAAAATCAATCTGTATCTTATTAGTCATTCTCAGTAAATTATTTCTCCAGTCTCTTCTTCAGCATCTTAAAAAATTCATTTGTACAAAACCATTTTTTAATAGATTTTTTTTTTTCATTTTTTACAGGTCCAAGAGACACAGCATGAACAGTTGTGGAATCAATTGTAACTACATATCAACAGAAAATGTCACAGAGTAACCTTGGAATCAAATGCAAGCTATATTTCAAACTATCACCAACAGTTTCGTCCTAATCAGTGATCAAATATAAAAGGACATGAAAGGGATTTTGGATAGCAGCAGGGAGAGAAATTACACTGGATAGTAGTAATAATGCTGTACATTTGCAATTTGTGACTTCAAATGCATTGCTATCAAAATATCCGAAATAGTAGCTTTGGATCAATGCCAGTAGTAGTAAGCCTATAGTATCGCCTTCATCCATTCAAGGATTGACAAGAGGGTACCAGGGCAAATGACACCACTCTGTACAGGGTAATTAAATTTATAAATCTTGTACTGATAATGGGCTTTCAATCCCTGCCAGTGTCACTTTCAACTGTTTGTGACAAATATAAAATTGTGACTTTGTTCGAAATGCATATATTTCTACCTAGCATGTACTTACTGCCCGTACTCATTAACCTAATTCTACAAGATAACAGCATACCATATTACAATCCTAAATTATAACTACAGATCATTTGATTTGATTTGCTATGGATATTATCAAATTGATTTCTACTACTGTCAAATGCAGTTAGTATACATTACTTCCAGCAATTAAATTATAAGTAAATTTGTGACGGTTAAAAATATGTTTTAAACCAATCACCTTCTCCAGATCAATTTTGCCGTTTTTGGCAGAATGCTTTTTTGTTGTTTTCTGTCCCAGGTATAGTGGAAAAGTCATTGTTTTTGTTCTAAATTTTTTTCTTCTATGACACTTCCCCATGTGTTTGCACATAGTTTTCCCAAGCCCACTTTGGTGAATTTCTGTGCAAATGATGTGTAAAAAATGACACAATTCTACACAATCTTTATATTAATATTTAATTAAACTATTATGTTAACAAAAGTGTTACGTTACATTGAACACAAATTTGCTGTGAAATGCATAGAATGTTTGCCTCCAACCCACAAAAATATTGAAGTATATTATCAAATATACAAAATATAATAAATTATATTAAAAATATGAAATGTAATATTACTTACCACAATTTCATCTATTTTTTTTCTTACTTCAGGCCTGTAAAACATAAATATATTAAGATTATTATTATAATACCATAAATTTATGAAAGAAGTAGTGCAACATTTTATTAGATTATAATATTCACAAAACATGGTATGGTATCTATAAATATAATAAGAATCAGTAACCAGGACAGGAAAATATTTTTGTGCGTTTGACCACAAAAATCATCTTGATAAAAAAAATGTACCCAACACCAAATGCTATTTGTATACTATATAGCCTGGCACCAGTGCTAATCTTGAGCAGGGAATAACAAATCTTTTTTTCACCATGAATTCATCTAGTGAAATGCATCCTTCAGTAAACTAAAGAGATTTTTTTCCCCCCTATGAAATGCCTTTGGGAAAATTTGCAATGTCTCCACGTGCACTTTTTTCCCAGTTGTGGACACATTTTCCAAGTAATATAGATGCGTGTATAAATGCAATATAACTTAATTGTATAAATATTGCAATTACACATAATTATTAATCAGCATAATTATAATATTATTAAATAATAATTGCACAATGAGGACAGTGGTGAAATAACAACAGAATGGAGATAAAATTGCAGTGTGCTATGATAGCATTCATTTTTTTTGCAGTTGTTTTCAAATGTACTGAGTATTCGGTACATTTCCACGTCAGGTAGGGCAAAATTACACCTATACATTAATCATATAAGACTGTACAATCAATAAAATGCATTCATTCTTGCAATATACTGTATGTATGGCCGTTTGCCATTAACACTGAATGTAATTCCATTCATTTTTCATTTAATCTTTGTTGGCAGTTTTCCATCCTAACACCTGCACTTAAACTAAAGTACAATGGTAAATACAGTTTCTTCATTATCAAGCAAATGGAGCAGAAAGCATGGGCAATTGGTAGGAGAGAAAACCCGGCGGTTGAACTGCCAGCTAGATTAGCATCTGTAGACGACCTTCGTTCATATTTGGTCCATTAACATTAAAAAACACTTCTGTTATGACGGCACTTTCAAGTCAAAATTGTGCAGTTAACCTTATTTTTTACAGCTCATGAATACTTGAACTTTGGCTTAATCAGTTGTACAATAATGGATGAAAGTCACTGATTGGTTATTGCTTTTTACCATCAGTCCAATAAGAAGGGTGTGGTAAAAATTTTTGATAATATTTGTCAATAGTGGCATTGATCACAATGACAGCTTGGTTTTTTTTTTTTTTTAGCGAGTTCACATGGGAAGAAAATTTATCCATCAACTAATATTTTTAACTGATTTTGGAATGCAAAAACCTGTTAGATATTATGCCTTTTACACAGATTAGCAATGCAGTTTGTTAATAAAATCTACGAATGTCTCTACAAAGTTCATATGAAAACAACACATGTTGTTTTTCACTTAAGGATGAAAAAAAAGAGGCCTCAAAGTCGCAAAATACCAGATCCCTATCAAGGTTCTCAATATTAACCAATAATGGTCAATTTAATTTCTAAAAATTTGCAATGCTGTGCTGTAGTAGCATGAAGCCAGTACCCTTCAAATACGCAGACTCCAAAAACCCAAACTATGGTGCTGTATCCATTTATCTGTGTTTACTGTTAGAATAATAAATAATGATTATACTTTTATAACAGTAGTCCATGTGAATATATAGAGATTACAGAAGTAAATATTAAAGAAACCATCGAGTTCACCAATAAGTTTGAAAGTGTATAAGCCTGGTAATTCAATATTTTGTACATATTTTCAGGACACGTTCTTGCGTTTATTTCATACCTATCTAAATTATAAGAAATATATTTGAAACACTACCATTTAAATGATAAGAAGACATGTACAATAAGCATGTACAACAAATTAGGCTTAAATATACTGTAGTATACAACACGAGTTTATAAAATGACCCTAGTCCCACTAAAAGAAACATACCACTGGTACTGTAATAAGTGTTTTGATTTATGCAACAGTATCCTACGGTGGAGTAAGTTAAGTTGTTAAAACATGCTCAATGTCATGGATAGACTTACATCTATACATACCATACACAATACACGTATTGGTACAGAGAGAAATGAAGATGTGACTATTATCAAGAGAGCAATTACTGAAACAACAGCAAGAAATATTAGACCTATTATAGCACACAAAGAGTAATAACACGGAATTGAAGACATGCAGTAAACCATATAAACCATACTACTGTACAGTAAACAGTTTTTAAACATATTCTATGTTTGAATAATAATAAAAAATAACAATAATAAATCAAGCATTCATAACGTACAAATCAAAGTAAAAAATAAAATCCCAGTAAAAGAAGAAAACAGGGTATTATATTCTCTAGTGTTTAGTTGTTTTCTTACCTACACATTGAAAAATTTTTTTTTTAATTGATTTTAATGTAATTATTTTGACCTAGTCTAATAAGTACAATACTATGCATTACCAGAATTATGGTAGTTAGTAATAATAGAGGCATCCATGCCATCTATATGCTATTTTAAAGATGTTTATTCACATGCCGTAATGTGACATAACAAATACAGATTTTAACATCTGAAGTAGTCAGTGTGGCTTAGCTTAGGCCACCTGCTATACCACTAAGCTGGCATTAGTTTCGCCAGATGTAGGTATCAGATTAGCTAGCACAAGTTAACGCCAGTACTGTAGAAGCAACATACAGTATAATATATGTCAAACATTAAAATTGAACATACACTCAACTTTTGTAGTGCGAATATCAATCTTAAAAAATATGCAGGTCGAGATAGAGCACTACCTGTAATCAGCAGCTGTAACGACTTCGCGACAATAACAAATTATAAACACATGAGCATGGAGTTAAAAAATGGAATATTTCCATATTATATTTTGAACACAAAACTCATTGGTCTCCTGGCAAAAGCTCACTAATATTTTAGTAATTTTGTATTTAATGAATTTCGCTTTTTTTTTAACCAATAGTTAGTTACTGGTAGCTTTTTTTAGATACCCAATAAATGCGGGGACATTGTTCTTCCTTGGGGTCCTGATAACAAACTTATAAATTACAAATACAAAAATAAGAAATTATATAAAAAATTAAAGTACAAGATGCAAACTTATATCACAAAGTAAAGATTGCAAAGTATAAATAAATTAATAAACTGAAAAAAACCTGAAAAAAGTGATGAGTACATTATTCCAAAGTTTTTGCAGCTACTTTTTAAACTTCTTTTACCAGATTAATTTTGCCACATTATTTTATTGGATGCTTCAACTTTACAGATAAATAGTATCAACAACATAGCAGAGTACCTACTGTACAGTAGTACTTAGAAAAGGCCCATGTGACTGAGTAGATGTATGTGCACCAACACTAGATCAAGTTTAACATGATTGTATGCATGATTTAAGGGCAACAAAGACCATCTGGTGAATTCCCCAACTTATTGTTCAGACTTCAAATTCTCAGAATGATTTTTGGATCTCAACTGTTGCTCATCCAGGGTTGTAAGCACACATCTGGTGGCCCTAACAAAGGACTATATAATATTTGAAGAACAACTGCTTAAGAGTGCCTGGCAGTATAAACTATTTGGAGGTTTAGAACTCTTGTTAACCCCTGTACTGACCAACAATTTAATTAATATACAAAGTAGCTCAAGGGTTTTACATTGGAAGAAACTAGGCCTACTTCTAGATCTGCCTTAAAACAAGGCTTTGAAAGATATATTTTTGCTGCATGTGACCACACCCATGACCAGCTAACTTCTGGGAATATAATTCTAAAAGCTACTGTATGGCTTTTGGGCCAAATAAAAATAATTACTAGTTTCTTGTTTTTCATAATTACATTTTCTCTGCCTCACTAATTTTTTTTAAATTTTACGAAATGTACGACAAGCTGGAAATTCACATCGGTAAAATTTCTCTCGCTATTGTTCATGGTTGGGGATATGGTATGTATCATGTCTAGTGCTTCTTTTATTTGCTTTCAATGTGTCTACTTGGTAAGTGAGAAAGTAGCACTGAGCTGTTTCCAATCAACCATCTTGGATTTGCCATCTCAGAGTTAACAAAAAAAAGTGTCCTCGTTCTCCTTTTTTTAAACTATTAGGACAAGAAACTACTTTTTTTTCCCTTTTAACTTGGCCTTACTTTAAAGTTTAGCATTGTTCACCAGGTGCATTCTAGTTGATACCTTTAATTTTGCTCAATAGAAATAGAACAAAATTACATATAATATGTAAATAAAATGTTTTCTCATTAAATAATATTTAGTGGTAAACAACACAGGATTTCCATGTATCCCATTTTTTTTTTATTCAACATTATGGACCAAAAAATTATGATTTCTGGGACTACAAGTCTCTTTCCGAGATACAAAGATTATAAATTGGATTACAATTTTGAAATCAGGAACTATCAAAAACTCATCTAGGCTTGATTTTGTTTGGATGATGAAAACAGAGGGTGTGACATGGCTTGTTGTACTGAAGTTTAGCCACCTGGTAATAGTAAGTGTGCTGGGCTTCATAATGACGAACAATTAGTTGTGGTAGTTGCTTTGAAAGCAAAAAAACCCAGATTTTATATTTTTTAAATATTTTATAATGTTTTAAGGCCATCTGATTTTTGCTTACTATATGATACCAACTATACTATACCAAAGGGCGGCTGCCTGCCAGGGCCAATAATTGCTTGCCACTTCTCATGAAACTAAATAAATTTTGACTGAACTTTATTTTGTTGGTAATAACAATGTAATAAATGAAATACAAAAACAATAACAGCCATACTTCAGCCAGAGGGATAATGTTCCTAGGTAGCGAATGATAAACTTAATTATTGAAAAGTAAAACAATGTAGGACTACCGTACATATTAAATGTATAAACAAATAGAAGGTCAACTTGTGTCAAATTTCTGAGTCGATCCCCATCCAAATCAGATTAATAGTGTTTTACGATGATCATCAATATATTCATAAATATTAACACTGATAGTAAAAGAACAACTATTTTAAAATTTACCTCTCAAATTAAATCCCTGTACAACAGGAAACTGGAGAAATCAGGAACAGGAGAAATCCAAATTAAGTTTTTTTTCTAATACCAAGCAACAGGCTAAGTACGTGCTTATACTTAGTTTGGTACCCTACCACAGCTACTGTAGGCTATAGTCTTAGGCTGTACAGATTATTCGTTCTGAAGTTAATCAACTAGTAAAGGTCAAATGTGGCTTAACTGTTACTGGAATACTTTTTGTGATATTCTTCTTTAATGATAATTGTTTTGGTTGGTACATACAAAATTTGCCTAATTACATAGGCACACTTCACATTAGAGTATTTGACACCTGTGAAAAACCAAATCAACAAAGTGATTCAGAAAAGGTTTTGGAGTCTGCTGTCTTCTTCTGCTGTCTGATAACTTTACATTATAACTTTATATATTTATATTTAAGTTTGATTCTGCATTAATATAGTGAGATATTCTATTTCATTACAAATTATTATAAAAATAATATACCAGTTAAAAATTTCTCCACAAAAAATGTAACAAATTTAAATTTAATGTAAAGACTTAACGATCGAACCCGAAAGTTTTTAAGATTTGGACTTTCAAAGATGGGTAACTTTTTGGTCTTTGTTATTAAATCAGCCACATTGACTTCGAGTTCTATTGTGCTCCCAATAAGCAGGCCCTCTTGATATCTTGTTGTCAAGGAAATACACATTAATTGGCGAAGAATATAACTTTATTTCCTATAGAAAAAAAAAGGTAGTTTTTTTTCAGACAAACTGCCGAGTTCCCCCGACAGCATGAAATGAACTCTTTACACCGAGTACTTGAGGTTGTGGAATCGTCATCATGAAGCAAGTTACTCTTTTCATGGAATGCTTTAACCATTTCACCATTTCATTGAGAAAATTGTGAAAGTTCCCAAATAGGGGTGGGCGTGCCAGTTTTCCACGGTGTGAAGGCTTGCGTTGATGCCTGATTGATGCCAAATATTTAGTAGTATAGCCCGGGGAGCTCACTTGCATACCAACCAAACAGGGGGGTGCCACAGCCACTTCAAAACATGAGACACTTGCGCTACCTATTTTACTGAAAATTCCAACATCCAGTGCCAATGCACTGTGCTCTAAAAGACAACAGGAAAAAGAACACTCAATAGTGCCAGAGAGGGCACAATATTTACTGGTCGCCGGTGGCAAAAAGTGTTCCGTCTGGTTGCGATCTCAGGGCTGTACCAAAGGTAGGCTTAGCAAGGGGCTTATTTGCTTAGCACCCAGTCGAGCTTGAAATTCCCGCTAACATCGTGCGGAAAATTGTGTCACTTTGACACAGGATAGGCAAGGGACTTTAACTACTAATTTCACCCCAGTTAATTCCCACACTTGTGCTACAAAGTCCTCGCAAGTATACCCCATAAATGCTGCAACTCGCCCCATATTTGCCATACTTATGCTACCAAGTCCACTGTGCTTTAAAAGACGACAGGAAAAAGGCCACTCAATAGTGCCAAAGAGGGTGCAATATTGATTGGTTCCCGATGGCAAAAAGTGTTCCATCCGGTCGCGATCTTGTGGCTGTATCAAAGGTAGGTTTTGCACAAGGCCTAGCAGTCCACAGTCTTGCTTGAAATTCTCACTAACATTGTGCGGAAAATTGTGGCACTCTGACACAGGATAGGCCAGACTTTAACTACCAATTTCACCCCCATATTTCCCACACTTGTGCTACCAAGTCCTCCAAAATATACCCCGTAAATGTGGCACCGCCCCGTATAGAAATAAGAGTTTGTCCCCCAGGTACTTATTTATAGGCATAATTATAATTAATATACTTCATCAAAACAATTACACAACCTCCCAACAAGGGCCAAGCTTGTTTTTCTCTAGGCCATGTAATAACATATTTATATATTATCATGATGATATTATGTATTAATATTTAATGAATTGCCAGCATTAATTATCAATACTATTATTATTATGTGACATCATAATTAAATAGGCATAGCTACAGAAGTAGGTTAGGCCTATTCTATTCATCCATCATGATAGATTTTGTACTCGTTCGTTGTTGCTTTCATCAGTAGGTTAATGAAATGTAAATAAAGTTTAATGAATTTTAAATATTTCAATATATACCTGGTAGAAGCTTCTAATCGTTTTGTAACATAAGTCGTGGTTGGTGAATCAGGGCGGCTTTTACTCGGTTCTTCCTTTTGCTGAATCCCACATTTATCATATGACTCTTCACTGGCAGAATTACGCTGTGAATTCATTGTTGTTGTTAAACGCTCAGAAACAGACGACTTGGCTAGAACGCTGTCGTAACCACGTATACTATTTGTTGCATTATCTGAATCAACAGACGTCATTTTCAAAAATTTAATTAAAAAAATTAATATTCACATTAAATCAGCAATTTCAGCCAAATAGACCTAGATATGAAAGAATTTTAGCAGTAACCTCTCCTGTCCGAAGTACCCATGCCCAACTCTGTTGTCGGCCATTTTCCCACACATGACGTTAATCGTAACGACAGAGGGCGGAGAATCGTCAACAACATGACAACAAACGCCGATGTTGTAATGACGTACGTGTGATTCGCTCGTTCTCGGAAAGGACTCTAAATCGATCGGGATACAGCATCAATCGCTGAAAATGTAAATAATGCCTACTTCCCACGGAATATTGCGGTAAACCGCTGTTGAATTTCCGTTGCTCCCCGTGGGTTACTCTTTTAGGTCTATGCAAACATTTATAATATTAATAACAATAAGTTATTTTTAATGCCATGCTCTTAATTGGATTAGTGACATAGAAAGATGACAAAATTACTTAAGTCGAAAGCTAGAGAAAATGCCGAGGTTTTTGTACTTTTGGCCTTTGTTTAATGTTTCATCATGTTATCAATTTCCTATTTTTACTCTTTCGTTACATGCTATTACATATAGTCTTGTATTAAGTGGATAATGTGTTTTATACCCCTGGGATCATTTTTATTCGAAAGGTGTTACTAGGCCTATGTAATAAAATTAATATTTATACAAAACGTTTATATTTTTACTGCGATTTTTAATTTGCTTTTTATAGCGATGTAAATTTGTAACTTGAATTTTTTAGATGTTAGATGCTTGTATACAGTAATGTTTTTTTTTCATGATGGCGAATAAAATTAATTCAATTCAATTAGTTCTTAGTTACACCCCTGCCATTCAGTGAATTATACGCGTTTGCTATCGGATATTAGCTATAGTAAGGCTAAGTAAGCAAATAGTTAAAATATAATCCTGACAAAAATAAACACAATAAACATATTGAATTCGAATGCGTCTTTTATTTACATATAGATAATAAACAATAGAGTATATATAAAGCAATTATATTGACATAGTAATAGGTCATGTGTTTAGGAGGTGGCGACATTGCATACTAGTGTAGGAGCTGACCCACAACAATAGACTCATCAATGATGAGTCACATTTAATTTTGGGCCCGCCTTCATTGTATTCCTATTTAATTACAACATGACACTTATTTTTACATTGCACAAGTTCAAAGTATCATGTAACCATGACTGGCGAAGTAGACCTAAAGTGGTGCTGCGTGACCAGAGACGTGCACTTCAGCAGAAAGCTATTTTTTAAGTTCCCAGAATAACAATGTTATAACATAGAGAAAATAGAACAGAACTGTTCTATTTTTTCTATGGTTATAATAATCCAAAGTCCGATCACACACTACGCACTGAAGTTGTCAATATTAATGTTCAGCATTCATATTTTCACTGTGTGATACTTGCTTATATAGGCCCTAGTAATATTTACTGCATGCTTATGTTGAGTTGATAGCATCAATAACATTTATATTTTAACTGCTTACTTTTAGCGGTAAGCTAGCTATCTTTTTCAATAGAAAATTACAATTAAAATATATTTCCTTGCTAATTAAGAGACTTAGAACTATTTATATATTTAATATTTGCATTGTTCAGAATTGTCATAATAAAAAAGGTCTGTATACATGAGATAAAACTTATTTTACCCTTTGTGTGTCTCATTTCGATCATTTTAATGGCAATTGTAACCCACATTATGGGTTAGACTTATGTTGGATTCCGATCTCCTAATCGGAAAAGTGTCATCGATTGGATTATGAAAATGTCAATTCTCGACACATTCAATAATGGACAATTATAGTGAATGTAAGCTGCCAAATACAGAAACATGTCAACTTATCAACGAAGATTACACGTGACAATGAGTCATTTAAATTTAAGAACATACTGTAACAGTGCTAGGAATACGCGCATGTCCCATGAGTACACAGTTTACATACCGTCAGTAATGGGTGTTGCAGGTGAATGAAGAATGTACAACAACAGGTCAAATTATTTTTTATCAACGAATATCACACGCCACAGTGGGTCTTTCCAGAGTGTCAAACAACTGATCAATCATAATATTGCAAGGACTACGCGCATGTCCCACAACCATTGCAGAGCGATCCATTGTTATAAAAGATGTTGAAATTTATCTCGTTCCTCTTCTTTACCCTTGGAAAATCTTAAATCCATGCTCAGCAACAAATAAGAAAAAAAAAAAAAACCAATAAAAATAGTAAACAATTGCGTTCGAAGTCAATGTAATTATTGTTTTATAAATTATAGAGAATAAAAGTATGGGATCCACTGATTGTTGTTTAGTCGTTCGTCAAATCGGAGTACACTTCTCCCGCCATCGTTGATGCTTCAACTTATGTTTAGTAATAGCTCCCCTCATAAATGCTTTTGTTTTCTGAAAAATGGTTTCACTTTTAGAAAGTTTTAGAATCATCCATTTCAGTCTCCTGTCTGACCATGCTGATCCATGTTTACAAAACCTCATAGAGATGAATGCTTTAATTTCAGCTATTTCAGAGCAAAGTTCTGGAATACTATCTCGAATGGAATCTAAGATATTTGGTTCTTTATCCAGATCACACGGCTCCACGAATTGTATGCAAATCAACAGAAGAATTAACAATAATTTTATAAGTTTATTCTTGCAGTGTTTGGGTTTTTGACGAAAAGGTAAACCGCGTTCCAAGTGCATGATTGTCTGAGTTGCACGAAATACACTGATGATATTATTTCTTAGCTGAATTTATTTAATACAAATAGGAGATTTAAACCGAATTGTTCAGATTTCATTCGCAAATTAAAGTTTAAAGAATGTTTGAAAGCTTTTTAAGCAGAATATCCAACATAGTGCCGAATTTAAAAATTCCTCATTCAAGTTACGTTCATTAGGCCTATACATTGGCCATTCTTGAATATGCCCTGGTCTGCTCCGTTGTTTCGATTTCAATCAACCTAGTTTTATAGTCTAAAATGTGTTCCTTCTATGACCAACTAATTATTTGAACGCACAGGGTCTGTTTTAAAGGTTTTGTTCACTCAGGGATTATGGAGATTGTGCGCAGAAGCAATCAAACTGTACACAACTTGCGACTAGTCTAGCTCAATTTGGTTTTATTTACACTAAATTAAATTTGATAGCATTGGTTATCGTTGGAAGCGTGTGCTTTACTTTGTTAAAGTGCAATTACGTGTTTTTATGTTACTATCATTTAGTCTGTTGGGTGTATTTTGACAGTTTAAGTGTGAGAGAGGGTCAATAACTGCTTGCAAACACTGCAGCGTTAAGTGACAAGGTGATGGTTCACTTTTATATAATGTAACTTCTTGCATTTGTTAATGTTTTGTCCAGTAGCTGATAGATTTCCATGATGTTTTCAATATTGCCCACCCCTTTCAAAATAATTTATTATAGAAAATCAGCTACGGGCTCAGGTATATAATTGCATTTCTTAATGTAAAACGTAGTTTTAATTATTTTTCGTTACTTAAAAAAATAATAATTTTAAAGTTTGTATTGTGGGGAATTTATTTCGTATTTGAAAGGACAGGCGTATCATTATAGAGCAGCCATTGGTTTAACTTAGTTTGGTTAGGGTGTGTTGTTGTGAAACCTCAAATCTATGCTCTTGGTTCGCATTTGCTGGTACGGTGATAGGGGGTGAAATGCATTAAGCCCCGACTTTCGGAGAGACGCCGTGCCGTTGGCCCTGTACTTCAAGCGGGTTAAGTGCACGGTTAAAGACCTCTGGCAAGAAGGGTTGAGATTGCTTTTTAATGTTTGAGTTGCAAAACTACCTGGTAAACCTGCACAATGCCATTATATGTGATGTCCTGTGCAATACAATCCGAGATATCGAATATGGTACATGGTATAGGAGAAGGATATGACAACATTTAGTGTTTAAATGGAGATAAGGAAACTGTACAGATCCGTCTTTTAAAAAGCTCAAGAGTGATGCCCGAAAAGATTCTTACTGAGCTGACATCAATTTTACATCAACAAAAAAAGTTCTTATTGTACATAGAAAAAATACATGGTATAAAATATGTTTATAATGTTAATAAAGAGGCAGTCATCAAGAAAGCTGGTATTGAGGGGAAACAAAATGATCCGGCACAGACTTAATTTTCTAATTTCAATGGACCTTTTAATTTCAAATAATTTACCGCAGGAATATTCATGACAATTAGAACGCCCCAAACGCTCGTAGGTGTTCTAAAAACCGGGTTAGGCTAAAAACAACTGGCCTATTATCACCAGCATAAGTGTCATGGCTCGAACCCTCTCGCTCTGCATTTCACTTTTGTATTTTTTAGCAAGGCACATTTGTCCCGACCCTGGAATTAAGGGTACACACAAGATAAAATGTCTAGACCTACCTCAGTCTGTAATTTTTTTTAAATATATATTTATTTTCTTTTTAAGTAGGTCGGTCAAAATCATCGTAAGGATGCCAAGGTCATAAAACGTATACCCAGTAACCTTCATCACTGAAGCTCCGCTCGTTAAAACTTGAAGGTGGAACATATTTGCTAATGGTGTACTTTATTTACGTTTGGTATACTGACAGATTTATGAACCATAGGCTTATCATTGATGATACTGACTTCGATGTTATTGAAATGATGCTTTTGTAGATGATAAGCTTGTTTTCGACTTCCCTGGGAGATGTTGTGTGACCACAGTTCATGATTTCCTAAACTCTGTGTCTAATAAGTTTAGGTTTTCCAGTCCAGCTTTCTTTAATAGTAAGTTTGTATACTAAATCGAATATCATGATTCAGGGAAGTTATAAAGGTGGTTTGAGAAAAGCATTGTTTCCGTTGTGCAGGGGTGGGCATAAAATGGGTCGGAGGGCCGGCGAACTGTTGATAGAAATAGAAGGGCCGCACCTAAACACAATTTCAGAAAAAACGTTCATGCTTTTATATAGCTTCATGCTCAGTTTTAATATTACCTTGTGTAGGAAGATCAGTGGCCTACCATAGGTTTTTGAGGGCGTACTCTGCCCACCTGTGTCGTCAGTATTAGAATCCAAGCGGATCCAAAAACTGAAATAAGAGACCAAGCTGTTTCGATTTTTCATATTGGGAAATGATATATTTTGAAAATATTGCATATTACTGTACAGACACTTAAATACCTGTCTCTTATACACATCTAGATGTGTATAAGAGACAGTTCATATTTTCATTCATTCATTTTATTCATAGATTGCTCTAAGCATTAATTATGGTTATAAAACACATATGTGTTTTCTGATTGAAACTAAAAATAATAATTTTTTGGAAAAGTGGTGGATTTAAGGGGGAGCCCAGCTGGCCTGGTCCCCATTTAAAGTTTTCAAAATAAAAAAAAAATAGAGAAAATAGGAAAATTATACAAGGATACAATATTGATAATAACTACTACTACTAATAATAATAATAATAATAATAATAATAATTACATAGCCCCTTCCATCAAGAATGTTGAATGGTTGATGAAGAAAAAAAACCCGATTGTCCGCAGTGGAATTCAGATTCTAGACTTTCCGAATACCATTTGGTTTGGTTATTATAAGATTTAATAACCTACTCGTGCTTGTTATATGTCGGCTTTTAGTAACAATAACATCCAATAATTATATTTTAATTTCAACAAAATCGATGAGAAATATTAATATTAATTACAAGGTGTGGCAAACAGTGCAGGATATATTGGCAATGGAAAGGATTATTTAATTTATAATTTAATTAGTAAAGAATATTCAAATATTATTAAAAAAAATCATGTTTTGGTATAAAATAGTTTGAACAAAGTTTCAGGTACTGTTTGATTGAACATTGTGATTGGCTATTAGTTTGAAATAGCTATGCGCATGCTCAAATAAAACAAGATGGCTGCGTACACACGTATACAAAAGTGGCTGAAGTCTGCATTAATTTTTACCGTTTTTGTAAACATATATTGGTGTTATGGACACGAAATTGTATTAGACGATGACATATTTAAAGCCAGTCCATCAAAGAATGTTGTAAATGTGGGAATCGCAAAGCCTCGAAGGTATGTTGACGTGTCATTATGCCAGGCTTATGTTACGCCCCAGCTCAGGGGATGAACGGTCGGCTCCATCCGGCGTTCAACGGCTAGAGGCTTAGACCTACCCACCTATCGTTTGGCTAGCTAGACGTAGATGCCTAACATGTTTATTCAGGTGGTGCCCGGTATGGTACTACCAGATTAGGACATATTATTCAATCAGGTTTAATATTTTGTTTAATTTATTGCATCCTAAATATAGGCCTATATTAATATTTTGTCGGGGGTGATAATAGATAGGCATAGGCTTGGCCTAGGTTAGGCCCCTAGGGATGAGCCTACATAGTTTGAAAAACATTCTACAAAAGTTATGTTGTTTAAAGTGTGCTTGGTGGTTAAGATGCTTGCCATCTAATCCAAGGCCATATTGTAATATAGGCCTACTGCATTATTTTTAAATGCTGTTGAAATAAATGAGTGGCAAAAAAAATCTTTTTTTATTCCCACATCAATATTTCCCAAATTTTTGACATGGACAGGAGTGATAATCTAACAATTATTTCTATGTGTCCTGGGGTCAAAACCTAATTTTCTGCATTTTCTGAGCGGAAATCAGCCCTTATTTTCCGAAATGTGCGGACAGATTTCTAGGCGAAATTTTTACGTGAAGGATATATTCCCTGTGCAGGCCTTACTTTACAGTCTGGACCCAAGGGCCAGGATTGCCACCTATGATGACAGTGATTAATTTTGCTATTAAAAGTCTTTGGGCCATGTTACTAAATAATGAAAAAAAAAAGTGAAAGGTTAGTACTTTGTGAACATATTTATTTTCCATAAGCACACAGTAAAAGGAAATGTGGCTTTTTTTTTTTTTTTTTTTTTTTGCAGATTTTTACTTTATGATGTCAATCCTGGTGAAGGATTTAATTTAAGGAGAGATGTGTACATGCGAATGTCCAATCTTGTCAAGAAGCTACGTGAAAAACAAGAATGGATTTTGGTATTGCCACCGTGGGGTAGAATCTACCATTGGAAATCCCCAAACCTAGACCAGTATCGACTACCATGGTCCCTCTTCTTTAATATTGAAAGTTTAAATCAACATGTTCCTGTTATTGAATTCACAGATTACCTCAAAGGTTGGTGTTTCATCTACCGTATTCATCCGAATAAATGCCCTTGGGCGTTTATTATTGTGAAGTTTTTTTGATGAAGGCTTTTTTTTTTTTTTTTTAAATTAGATACATATACTCAACTAAACACAACTTAATTTCACTGTAAATATGGAACTGCAACACTTAATTTCCATCAAAATGTGTTATTGCGTGATTATAAAGACTTATTGATCCCAACTGGGTTAGGGCGATTATTCAAGGAAGGACTTTTTTTCCAAATGATGTTCTGTAGGGGGCGTTTATTTGAAGGGAATTTATTCAAATAAATACTGTAATTTAAAGTGCATTTGTCACACAAATTTATAATTTTACCTCACATTGGAATAAGTTTATATTGAAGGCGATGTTTTAGTTTGTGATGCACCTGTGAACAATATAAAATTAATTGGAACAGAGACATTAATGTTTAATATATTTATTGTATTTTATTAGTACTGTATTACTATATATGTGTGGTAATATTTACATTGTTTATTGGAAAAATCATCTGGGACCAATAAATAATAATAAAGTAGTATTGATAAATGATAATTTATGATATTCAATGTTGATTTTAGTTGACATCAACAGTACACTTAAGAATGCTGTTTAATTACCAGTGAAAAAATGTAAGAAAAATTGTCTTGATGTTTTTTGGATTTATCAAAAACTTTGATTACAAAATTATTTATTGTTTGAATAATATATATTAGAATAATATACTTTTTATGTAACAGTGCAATTTGTGTACAGTTTGCATGTTTTGGATAGGCTACATTTTGGATAGGGTAGGAGAATTCTTTTCATTTCAGTTGATTTTGACTGGAAGTGGTATGTTTTGTTGCCTCCATAGAGATTGGAAAACCTGAGATAGAAGAAGTATATACTCTACAACGCTATGCGGAAGGATGGACGAATGGAAAGTTCGAAGAAAAGTATGATGAACGGGAGTGCATAGACCGCCCAGCTTACAATGCCAAAGAAGGGGGAAGGTTTAAGGGATGGTTTTGGGGTTACGACGATGTGTACGCATTGAATTTCAAGTGCCTGTCTGTGCAAGGCTTTGCCAGCATTTTAGCCCCCATGCTGTGGGAGAGCACAACTGCAAGGTATGTCGCATACTTTAACCTCTTGAAGTGCTGTATACTTTAAGTAGAGTTAAGGTGAGATACAAGTAGAGTAATAACATAAACAATTAATAAACTGACATTGAATAGAAATGGTACCTTGTAATGATGTGGGTTACGTGTGCCTTATGCTAGTTTTTGTTAACTTTGTATTCATCTCAGAATCACAAGACTCTCCACAATCAATTATTGATCTCTCTGGAAATAAGTCCCTAAAAAGGGACTTACTGTAGAGGGTTTATCCAAATATTTCTTCTTTTTTCGATGAGTTTTCGTATGTCGACGAGCTTTTTTCTGTTTCATATAATTATGTTTGTATGTACACTTCAAGAGATATTGAATAAATTAAATCAAAATCACAATCAAATCAAACTCTACATTACAGCATCTGCAAGCATTATTGACAAATGTTATTTAATATTTTGTTGAATAATAATTTTATTTTATATTTATTTGCTGTTTGTATTTAGGATTTAAAAAATATATATATACGTTTATATGTATAAAATTATTACTAGAAATGTAATTAAAATCTGTTAGTTTACAGCATATATGATACTTTACAATATAGTTATAATAGTCGCCATTATATTTAGCATTACCATTACCATTGTATTCTGATGTGCTTTTATAATTGTTTACCCATATGTGACAAGGAAAAAAAATCTCAAGGCATTGTTATGACAATAAAGATTATCTGAATCTGAATTATACATTTCATTAATTTACATATTTGGTGGTGAACTGTATGTAAATTATTATCCAGAGAAATTAATTAAACTAAATATATAAATCATTATAAATATTAAGTAAGTCATCATCAGTTTCATGTGTAAAAGCAGCCTCGTAAAAATCAATTAGTTTTATTAATATTTATTGATGAATATTTTTCTTTTACATTAATTTCATTTCTTATAATACACTTTTTCCATCCACATCATGATGCTTGTTCTTGTAGATAATCAACCGTACACCACTTAACAAGGGCAGATAAGACTAGATCTAAAATGATGCAATTTTAGTAATATTTCACCAAATCTTCAAGATATTTCATAATAATATTAAAGATATCACTGTCTCTTTAGTATTATTTTATCATTTTATAAAATTCTTTAGTAATCTGACCCATCTCATGGTAGTACCATCCATAATTATATAATCTTGTGGCTTATTTTCATATTAGTTATCTGCCTAGCAAAAGTGTGATATTCATTCTAGACTAGTTGTAATTTTGTGATTCTTCGTTACCAGATCAGTATTTATAACCAGAGCAGAAACACTTCTGCATGACCGATTTGGGGGCAAGAACTATTGGCTAGTAAGTTGGCCTATTGACCTGGTATTTGTAAACAATGTCAATGTTCAAATTCTGATTTTAAAGCGTTCTGCACATGCTCACTCACAATTTCATTTTCTTTTCTTTTCACCCTCTTTATCACTGGCTAAAATTCTTAAAAATCTTAGTTCTAGATCTTTGTTCTGCACAGTTGTGGTAAAAAATATTGCAATTTTTCGCAGAAACATTTCTGATACGTTAATATTTATTTTGCACTTACATAGTGTTGGCTTTGGTTGTGGATTCTCAATTTGGTGGTGGCGTAATCTTTGCCTTCTAATGACAAATAATCTGTCTGCAATTGTAATAAGCACGTTTCAAATCTGACCTAAAATACCCACCAACTTGAACAATGACATTCTTTGCAAGGTATTGTTGACTACTAACCTTTAACCTTTACCATCGGACCTAGGTCAGTGTTTCTTGACCGAGCCGAAGAGATACTCCATGACAATTACGGAGGAACTGAGTTTTGGGAAGTGAGTACAGTAATAAGAACTGTCAGTGACATTTTGTGATTGATTTGACTTCAGTTGAATGCTTCTTAATGTTTGTATTTGCAACATTCCCTGAATCTTGAAATGGATACTGATTAGGGTGGAGGAGGGGACTAGCCAGGGTAGGAAGCTCAGAGATTGGGGAAAATTTCCTGAGCTGTTGATGTTGGATACCATGGGTGAGAAAAGTGTCCCAACGCAGCCTCTGTTTTTAGCATAATAAAATTACTTAACAGTAATATCTGGAATAAAGACCAAACCTTGCTTATGTTGTGTCTACAAAGGGTGCTATAAATTATAATTTAGATTGAAGGAGGGACCCTGTGTCTTTTCTTTGATTTAGTTTTATATTTAAATGCTCTCTCATTTAGTCCTGGTCATTTCATTTAATATAGTGTTGTCATTATCTTTCATTTGCCATTTCATCTCTCTGTCCTTAATTTTTCTGATGTTTAAAACGTTAAATTTTTGACATATTTGTTACTCTCTTTTAATGAGGAAATTTAAGTTTTCTCTGAATGTGTAAAAATACAAGCTATTTTATGTTGAAAAGAAAGCTAACATTAGTTTTTGTGTGTTGAGGTGGGGTGTGATTTACAGCTTAGTTATTAGCATTTGCTTATAAGTAGATGTTGGCTTCTTTTAATGTTAGTAGACAACTGATGTTGAGTATTATTGGGGATGGGTGTATTGCACTGGTCAGCATATATGGTATGTGTGCTTATGAGTGGATGTTATAAATAGTAGATATGAGAACATTAGGTATACAGTAGTTCACATTATATTTATATGCACTTGCTTATCTATATATTAGTTTTGAGATTTTTTTTAATGGGAATGGGAGGATGTACCTTAGTCAGAATGATATGTGTTTAGTTTATGTTAGTCTTGATATCATTGTGAGTTTACTATAGTGAAAATTTATAGAATGTATGAAACATTTGTTTTCTTTAAATTCTGTACAATAGGCCAGAAGAAGTATGCGGTTTGCACAGCACTTGATTGACATAGGTAATGATTTCAGGAAGAAGCATTTGAAATCAACTGATGAAAAAGATAAAACAGTTATGAAAGAAAACTGGCAAGACCAAAAGGTATGAGAAGCTCTATTGTTCCTATAGAACTATACTATCTTTGGTACATGACATGGTACAAACAGAAAGCAAGCATCACATCTAGAAGGCTTTTTGCTTTTGATCTGATGGTCATCAGTTTGAATCCTAGGTTTATTATATTACCTGTTCTTTGGCAAGGCTACATGTGTATACTCACCCAGGGATAAATACAGTAGGTTCCTGGTTGGTCTAATGTGGAAGATATTGGTCTCTGTCAAGTTAATAAAATGCATTTCAGTAACCAAGTCTTCAAATATCCGTAGTAAGTACAAAATTTCCGTAGCACCTAATAAGTTGTCTTGAGTGCAAAATATGGGTTAAATTTTAGGTACACGATAATAACAGCTGTAGAATTTCAAATAAACGGGACAGCATAAAGATTTACAGGCACTTTTTTTTATTAGTTTTCACAATGATTAGTAGTACTTGAGAAGTCTGGACTATGTACACTCTCTTGCAGTAGAAGTTCTTGCAGTAGAAAATGCTGTTATCTAGATAAAATATCACTATACTTAATATGAACTGATTATTGTTTTTGTTATTGTCATTGCCATTATCATTGTCATTAACATTGTTATTGTCATTTTCATTTTATTTTAATTGTTACTGTTATTAAATGAGAGCTTTTCAATCACATACATAAAATTATGATTTATAATTTTGCTCTCTCTTTTTTTTTTTTTTTTAGCCAGAAAAAGGGACAGCTAAAGGCGGGCCGTACTTGGCTGTACATCTACGTAGACAGGACTTTGCTCGCAACAAACGTAAGGAGGCACCGTCAATAGAAAATGCTGCTCAGCAAATCAATAAAATTATGAAAGATAGGAAATTAAAAACAGTATTTTTAGCAACTGATGCTCACAAATCAGGTAATCTTGTATATTTGTATTTAAAAGTCTTATAATCAGGCAGTTTCATGGGAGGTGGGGTGAGAGGTGTGGGGATGAGCATGTTTTGCCATCACTTTTTTGAATTTCAATACATATCAATGCCATGTACTGAAATAGGAAAAAAATAAAATACAAATTACAAAATATTTCAATAAGGCCTCCAGCTCCTTTGTTGTGCCACTGCTGCTAGTTTTCCTGATAACTTAGTGCCCCCGAGTAGTACGGTTGGGGCCCCACTATCTGCAGCATTTATGGCGGAGGTTTGAATTTCGCTCCTCAGTGAGTCAATGGTGCTTACCAACAACAACAAAAATGTCTTGTGTAGTGTTTGAGAGTGGTGCTTCATTTATGGTATGGTAATTGAATAACATTAACATAGAATGGTCACTATTATTATTTCTATAACTGTGTTTTCTTATAGAAATTGATGACCTGAAGAATCAAGTTGAAGGTAAAGTTGTCCAATTCAAGCCATCAAAAACTATTCACCACCAGTATAAAGATGGAGGGGTGGCCATTATTGACCAGTGGATAGCAGCCCATGCTAGGTAGGAATACAACCTAAATATTTTTTTCTTCTATCCATCTATCCATCCATTTAAAATTCCTTCTTATTAAACTGTAATTCATTCATCTGTATGTACATTTATCTATTCCATCATTGGTTGGTTGGTGGTCGGCCCATCGCTCTTGTGGTCCATCCACCTCTGTTCAATCATTGATTTGTAGATGCATCCAAATATTTTATAGTGACAGGCCCAGAGTTCCAAGTTTTTTATAAAAATATACTAGGCCTATATTCCAAATATAAATGTAGCCCTACACTATGCTCAGATGTTTCCAAATACTGGATCATCTTGTGTCCATCTATTCAACAGCAGTCCATCCATTTAAAACCTCATTCCATCCATTCATTCATCCTTATATTTTAGGATAATTGGTTTATCTATAGAACTCTTAAATCCATTTATTTCCTCATTCATCCATTTTAATTTGTTGTTATTATGTCAAATTATTTCTACAAAATATTCACTAAAAATAATTTCTTTGAAAATTCTATTTTTGAATATAAAAGTTTTTATGAAAATATATCAATTTTTTCCACCATCCATTTACGATGTCATTCATTTACAATTGTGGTGCTACAAATGGAGCATGGTTCCCCATGTTTATTCACTATGATAGATTTTGTAACTGTGACTCTAGTCCTTGTGAAGCATCATCTGCTTCTTGTGATTCCCCTTCCTCCCCAGGGGCCGATCGAGATAACAATAACATAAGGGGTCTGGGGACATGCCCCGCGAAAATTCTGTGTTCTAGATGCCCAAAAATAACCCCCAATGCCTTTTGGGCGATAATTATTTTCTTTTTCTTTCTTTTTTTTTTTTTGACTTTCCAAAAGGTGGGGCCGGGGCCGTTTCCCCCCCCCTTCTAAATCCGCCCCTGCTCCCTTCCCAGCATATTAAAAACCTGTTTCTGCTTTTTACTACTGTAAACACGTTATATCGTCATTGCGGACTTATAAATCCGCATACGCCTTAAAACTAAAAGAAAATGCATACATTTAGAGTCCGCACTGAGCCCAAAAAATCCGCAATGAAAATATAACGTGTTTGTATATGTTAATCCATTAATTCTTGTTGATCCTTTTCATTGTAGATACTTCATTGGAACGTGTGTGTCCACTTTTTCATTTCGTATTCAAGATGAGAGGCAAATACTGGGGTTCGATCCAAATACAACTTACAACTGTTTCTGCGGTGACAAAGATTTAGATCCAAAATGCGAGCAGCCAACTAAATGGGACATAATGTACTGAAGGCAGGAAATCAAAGGGTCTCTTTAACAATATGTTATGCTGGTACACGCTTTGTGCTTTTGTATGTTCCAATGGGTACTGATTCATACTGGTGCTTCACATTTGGATCAAGTTGTCATTTGCATCAATAATTGGACATACTGTAGTGCTATTTTCACACAGATGCAATGGAGAAAAGGATGTTTGAATATTGATAGTGTTTGTACAATCTCAGAGCATCAAAAGCGGAAATTGACCATATATTGTACCTAATTATGCAGTTCTTGTCATTAAGGAATGAATGAATAAATGGAGGGATTGATGAATGATTAAATGAAAATGAATTGATGAATGAATGAATGAACAAGCGAACAAATGAAAATTACTTAATTCAGTGTGATTATTACTAATAGTAATAATAGAAAGAAAAATATATAATGATGCTATCGGAATTTTACTTTAATGTCACGTACAGGATGGGTGCTGAATAATAAAATCCATCTGGTATACTTTTATGAACTCTTCCAATGTATCAAATTTTTTTTTTTGGTAATCATATTGATATGATTGATAGAATTTATGATAAAAATGTCTTGGATTATCTTGCTTATCCTAATTTGTAGTAAAAATAGTGTTTACTTAATAAATTAACATTTATTTTTTATATATATTTATGAAATTGAAATTTGTGAACTTCATCCTCCAATACCCCTCGAATTCTGGGACCCTTCTAATTAAAGACTACTTTTCTAGAGTACCAAGTACAAACTTAAATCTTTCAACACAAAGCTAACCCTGTAATTGGAGACCAAACCCTAAAGATACCCCAAAGTTTTAAGTCCCAAATGCATTCTCAAAATGAAGGGCAAATTGTAGTACTTCTTGTAACAGTGTGTTTCATATCTGTATTGTTTTCAAATTGCTGGATGCCTGCAACGGACTGGCTCAATCTCTTACATGCTATGGTTGCATAGCTCGTAAATTCTTAATATACTTTACCAGATTAAATAAGTTTTCCTGAAGCAATAAATAGTACCTTGCCAAGAAGTAACATGAACATTTTCCTATAACAAAGTATATTGATCAACAAAACAATATTATTTAAATATATTTATCTTTTATAGCACAAGTCAATGGTGTACTTTTATGAAGCAATTTTTTGCCTTTTTTAATTTAAACACCAGTATAATTTTACACTAAATAGACAATAATTTTTGCATGAATTTTAGTAGAAAGCATAGTGTTGTCTATTGTAATTATATATTTAGATAGTAATTTTGTGAAGTAGTCTACCTAATATATTTATATTTTTAAAATTGAGTTTATGTATAATGTAACTTTTCACTAAATAATTATACATAGTCAAGCTTATCAGAGTTAATTCTGAGGTTTGTGCAATGTAGACAATGAAATTTGTCATTTTTGTTTTTACTATTTTTGGTTTGGGTTTTGTAGTAAAAGAATGAAAAAATTTTGAATTTCCCAACGATTGAGTGATACGATTGCGGACTTGACCGATTCAGTCACTACCTGACTTCTTTAAAATTAGAATTGTCAGACAAAAAGAGATTTATATTACAAAAAATACATATTAGAAATCTGATATATTTGTTGTTGCTTTTGAAAAGCAATTTTTCCCACCAGGTTAAAGTAATATAATGTTATGATTACCATTAACTGGTGTCTCAAACTAATGTACAATTCATGTATTAAGTTTTATTTTGTATACATTGATCCATCATATACTGGCGATGGGAATCTCTGTTGGCCTCCAGTTGGTGGACCAAAATAATAATTCCAACTTCTATTACTTTCTAAAACAGTATAAAATAGTCCAGGTTGTGTGTATGCCAATTCCTCATCAGAAATTGTCAGTCCCCTGTTGGACATGTTTGTCCCTTTGGATATTTATCTGATTAGAATGTGGTTATAATTACATGGCACTGTGAATATGGTATTGAAATGACAGCAATAATAGATTTGTATTTGTATGTCTGATATTTAAACTGCCAAGCTATGATATAAATTAGTACAAAATTGTGTTATTTGTACAATATTTGAATTCCAAAAAAAGAGATAGCTTGTTTTATAAGACACAAATTTGAGCCCCTTCTTTGAAATTTTATTTTATTCTTCCATGATGCTGTCAATTGCCAATTTTAATGGAGACAATTAATAGGTTGCACTGTAAAATATACTTCCATTTATTCTACACATGACTGTAAGTTTGAAACAGGAATTTCAATATATAAAGTGAAATCCAAAGATTTATAGTTAACGATTCACTGTTTGAACAACTGTTATTGTCTATGCAGGTAACTTGTTACATTACACATTATATATTTAATTCAATATTTGAGTCAACAAAAATGCAGTTTAGTGTTGTACATTATCTGTTTTATATTAAAATTCTGTGCTGATGATGCAAGAATGTGTAAAAATATTTATCTTATACATACTTTATTTTATTTAAATAGTGTGGAAATAAAACAATTGAGCATGATTGAATGTGTTGTTGTTTCTGTTGAGATTGGTGTCTTGCAGTTAGGTGAAGGAGTGGAGATGCTCACGTTAAGCCGGGTACTCATTACGCGCAACGACGAATGCACGCAACGGCGTGAAACCAATCGATCGCTTCTTTAATGAGGATACGTTCAGACTGCCACTGACAATCAGCAGATGGCGTTACGTCGTCTATCGCTCGCCGGAAGCAGAGGTGGATTCGTTGTGCGGCAGTCGTACGACCGTCCTACGACGCAGTGAGTGTCCGGCATTAAGCTGTCTACACTATCATATTTAATTTGACAAATTTTCCTAATATTTTAGCAGTATGACATCATGCTCAAGTTTGTGCTTGGCACAAGCTAGAATGCATCATACGCAACAACCAGAGGATCGACCTAAATGAAAGACACGGCTATTCCACTATTAATAATTATCTTATGAAATAGTTGTTCAAGTCTGCAACTCAATATCTCTAGCACAGTTGTTGAACTTGTGCTTCATTCCTTATTTAGAGTTCACACAAAATCTAGTGGTGAATTGATTTGTGGTTGCATAACCCTCTAGACCTCCTTGTCCCCCACCCTTCAGCCCCTTCGTTATGCCACGGCTGCTAGCGCTCCTGATAACTTGGAGCCCCCGACCGATACGGCTGGGGTGCCACTACTGCAGCCTTTATGGCGGAGGTTTGAAGTTCATTCTTCAGTGGAGCTTATGCCAACAATTAAAAATCATGTTTTGTGTAGTGTTTGATAGCGGTGCTTTATTAATGTATAGTAATAAAGTAACATTAACATAGAAATGTCCATTTATTATTATTATTATTATTATTATTATTATTATTATTTCTAAAGATGGAGGGGTGGCCATCATTGACCAGTGGAAAGCAGCCCATGCTTGGCAGGAATACTACCTAACAATTTTCATTTTTTTTTCATCTGTCCATCCATCAATTAAAAATTCCTTCTTATTAAACGTAATTCTTTTTTCTGTGTGTACATTCATCTATTCCATCGTCGGTCCGTCAGTGGTCAGTGGAAGATTCATCAAAATATTTTATAGTGATAGCCCAGAGGCTCACATCATACCTTCTTTTGACTATCAAAGTTAAATTTTGTATTAAAAATATACTTGGCCTATATTCCAAACAAATGTAGCCCTACACTATGCTCAAATTTTTCAAATATTGGATCATCTTGTGTCCATTGTCCATCCATTTCAAACTTCAATACGTCCATTCGTTCGTCCTTCAGGATCATTGATTAATCTATAGCACTCTTAAATCCATTTATTTCCACATTCATCATTTATTTTAATTTGTTGTTAAATTGTGTCAAATTATTTCTACAAAGTCTTTGTAAAAAGTATTTTTTGCTTCCACTGAAAAAAAAATGTTTTGGTCATTTATATTTTTGATTATAAAAGTTTTCAGAAAAATATATATGTTATCGCCTAGCAGTTAACCCCCTGTAAGATCGATTAAATCCAGTATATGGGAATGATGCGATTAGTCATGATCTAAAGATGAAAATGAATATAAGACCTGTCCTAAAAAGTTTACTAAAAAGTCCCTACAGCATAAATTCCTTTCGTCTACATCCATTTTCATATCCCTTTAACTATGTCAGAAAAAAGCAGGCATCTGTGAGTGGTGATACGGTTGTCATAAAGTTATAAGGGCGCCCTCAAAATTATTTCGTTCCCTCGAAATATTTATTTCCTCATCTGAAACAAACCCCCTTCAACCTATATGCAGTTTAGGTTTGTCCCTTTGGATATGTATCTCATTAGAATGTGTTCATAATATTACATGGCACTGTGAATTTAGTGTTCAGATGACAGCAATAATAGATTTGTAGGCCTACTGTATTTTCTATGATAATATTTAAACTGCCAATATATGTAATCAGGCGATCAGGATATAATATGGCTTCTGAAATGTATTATTGATGTTGGCCAAGTGTAAACAGAAAATACTGTATTCACGTATTTCCAATTAACGATACAGGAAAACCTGAACAATATAAAACAAAATTTATATTGTATATTGTATATTAGTACATTGTACATAACCAGCATGACCATGACGATGCCTAAACGGTATAGTACGTTTGTCTAATGAGAGAAACAATTTAGTCATTGTATGCATGCATGACTTGTTTTGGAGTAAGGTATTTCTCTCTATTCGTCTATTTACCCTTGAATAAATAAGTGCTGTATATGGTACCGCGCCGGTACCAAATAGGCTATGTCAGAACATTATATATTCACGATGTGCTTGTTTTTAATAAATGTTTTACTGTCGTCGTCTTTCTTCAGTCTAAACACTCAAAACAATCAAAGATTCCCTTGTACCGTATTCACCCCGAGTACTACACCCGGCGATGCAGTTACTTTCTCTTTTTGTGTTATGTGTTTTATCTCAGCCTGACCTTCGCCAGGGCGAACGGTGTAAACGTCTTTGTCCGCTCCTGGTAATGGACAAACTTTGTTATTTCTAAAATGTTTGAAGTCCAAAAAAGAGATAGGGCATAGGTTTAGGACTTATAAATAATAAAGGATCAAACAGGTACAGATACATGTTTCAGAATCTAGTATTAACAATTGAAAAAAGGAAGGGACGATAAATTACCATACTCTACAGCTTCTGCCAATTTTTTTTTTCTGTTCATCGCTGGCAGAGATTCACTTATTTTAAAACACACACACTTGAGTCGCCTTTTTTAAATGAAATTTTATTCTTCCATGATGCCATTAATTGCCAAAATAGAGGCAATTATTAGGTTGCACTGTAAAATACATTTCCATCTTTTTATTCGTCACACGATACGACTGGAAGTTTGTAACAGGAATGTTGTTCTTGCTTTCACGAAACGTAGGCCTACACACAAACATCCACTTTAATAGTATATGAAGTGAAATCCAAAGATATAAACCTAATTATTCAGTGTTTAAATAACTGTCGATGCAACTAATTACACATGACATGTAATTAATAAAGGGGATGGATCCGAAAAAAAGGTACTAGTACATGCCCTCGATAAATTTTTAATTTTTAAAACGTCCGAAAATCTGAGACGTTTTAGGCGATCAACTATTTATTTTTCTTTCTTTCTTTTTTCTTTTTCCAATTTACTTTCCAAAAAAAGGAGGGGGGGGGGGTCGTGGAGGTCGGCCCGACCCCCTCCACACCCGCCTCTGATTAACAGATATTTTGGTGTTATAGATTATCAGTTTTAAATGGAAATTATGTACTGACAGGTTAATTAGCAACATTATTATTATTATTATTAGAGACTTTTTGTATTTTGCGCTCTATAAATTAAAAACCATTAACCATTATTCATTGAGAGGCACAATGACCCTGATAATGACACTGCTAGTTAATAGATTATTTTCCCTAATTGTTTGGTTATATATAATAGTCATACATCTCTTTATTCATCCAACATTTGGATATTATAGTACGGTACTCTCTTGCACTCCCGAAGAAAGAAAATTTCATCAAAAAAATCTATCTAAAATGTCTATTCTTAAAAAAGCAAATTCCTCCCGGAATGAAGAGTTATGATATCTATTCGTGTTTGTTGCCGATACCACTGCGTTGCGTTGTATAAATCAACCAGCAATAGCCGAATGTAACGGATGACTTTCGTCAGCAATTTATTCACCGGACTTTTTAACTAGTCGCTAGACTGAGTACACTGTCTGCAGACCCGAACAGATAATCCTCTCAAATACCTCCTTGCTCACACCTATTGACAAACCTTTGTAGTTTGTCCCTATCACCTTTTTAAATATTTCAGCCCCAACATACTAGACAATAACTAATTAACCCAAGAAATTAATCCAAGAATGATGGAATTATAATAAGAAATAAGTAAGTAATATTATTCAATAATAATTGAGAGGATGGCTCTAACTGCAATGCTGACAGGCCCTCTTCCAAAACAATTCAAAATAAGTATATAATCCTAAATACAATTAATCAAATTGTGAGAAAATGTAAAATATTCTATAATTATCATTGTAATTTCATTATTATAATCATATTAATATTAATAATAATATTGTAATGAAGTTATTGATAAAAAGAAAAGCTTGGCCTATGATAATTATGAAAAAATATATTTATACATATAATAACTTCGGAACAAAAAAAAAAACCAAATAACAAAACAAAGACAAGAATATACAATAATTTCGGGCCATGTTCTTGTCATGGCCCACTGCCAAAGTACAGGTCTAAGCCACGTCAGAACGGTAAGGCCTACAATAAAGATTACAATGAGAAGGAAAGCCAAAACTCATGTTAAATCTGCCTTCCTTAAAAATTATAACGTCAAATTTGTTTTTGCTTGCCACACAATGCCTCGCCTTCAAGGATGCAGGATACGGTAGAGACTGTCTTTACTTTTACTGATGATGAACTCTTTTACTTTGATGCGGTTCCAGATCGTTGCTGGTCAACTGGGGCCACGTAATGTGCAGCCTGGTAATATGTACTCTGTTTTTCAGAATGTGTTGACTAGACCCACACGTCAAGCCTTTTCTGATGCAATGTCAAAAGTAATCTTAATTGGTAAAGTATCACACCTATCAACCCCTCGTTTTTTGTAGCCAGTTTTACAATGCTACCAGCTGAAATAAAATAGCAAATAGGTACATCATCCATAAATGTATGAAATCAATAAATGTATGAAAAAAAGTTTCTCCTGCGGAATTAAAACCTGCAGCCTCTTGCTATCATTAAATATCATTTATCAATGCGCTGGCTGTAAATGGATCATTGCACAGCATTGCCTCATGTTAGTTGGCACAAGCTAGCTTGCATCATACGCAACAACCAGAGGATCGACCTAAATGCAAGACACGGCTATTCCACTATTAATTATTATCTTGTGAAATAATTGTGGAAGTCTGCAACTCAAAATCTCTAGCACAGTTGTTGAACTTGTGCTACATCAATTATTCAGAGTTCACACAAAATCTAGTGGTGAATTGATTTGTGGTTACATAACCCTCTAGACCTCCTTGTCCCCCACCCTTCAGCCCCCTTCGTTATGCCACGGCTGCTAGCGCTCCTGATAACTTAGTGCCCCCGACCGGTACAGCTCAGGTGCCACTACTAGAGCCTTTATGGCGGAGGTTTGAAGTTCATTCCTCAGTGGAGCTTATGCCAACAATTAAAAATCATGTTTTGTGTAGTGTTTGATAGCGGTGCTTTATTAATGTATAGTAATAAAGTAACATTAACATAGAAATGTCCATTTATTATAATTATTATTTATAAAGATGGAGGGGTGGCCATCATTGACCAGTGGAAAGCTGCCCATGCTTGGCAGGAATACTACCTAACAATTTTCATTTTTTTTATTCATCTGTCCATCCATCAATTTAAAATTCCTTCATATTAAATGTAATTCTTTTTTCTGTGTGTACATGTATCTATTCCATCGTTGGCTGGTCGGTCGGTCAGTGGTCGGTCAGTGGTCGGTCCATCGCTCGTTTGTCCATCCACCTCTATTCAATCATTGATCTGAATATTCATCCAAATATTTTATAGTGATAGCCCAGAGGCTCACATCATACCTTCTTTTGACTATCAAATTTAAATTTTGTATTAAAAATATACTAGGCCTATATTCCAAACAAATGTAGCCATAATTTTTCAAAATATTGGATCATCTTGTGTCCCTGTCCATCCATTAAACATCAGTCCATCCATTTCAAACTTCAATCTGTTCATTCATTCGTCCTTTAGGATCATTGAATAATCTATAGCACTCTTAAATCCATTTATTTCTACATTCATCATTTATTTTAATTTGTTGTTAAATTATGTCAAATTATTTCTACAAAGTCTTTGTAACTTCCACTAAAAAAAAAAATTGTTTTGCCCATTTATATTTTTGATTATAAAAATTTTCAGAAAAATATATCCATTTTTTCCACCATCCATTTACAAGGAGCATGCGTCCCCATGTTTACTCACTACCGTAAAACCTCGAATTGAAGCCCACTGGGCTTAATCTCGAGATGAAGCCTATCTCGAATTGAAGCCCCACCCCTCCATTTTTAGTTTGAAAAATTAGCCTCGAAAAGAAGCCCGTCTCAGAAAGAAGCCCATGGGCTTCTTTTCAAGATAGCATTTCTTCTTTTCAAGTTATTACAGTCACATACACTGTACATGAATTTCAGAAAACAAAATAAATTAAATACAAGCTTGGTTAATACAGTAGTTTTAGGTGATTTAATGCCAGTTAAATGCACTCCTTGATACTGATTGATATTACAGTGGCCTTATTTATTGTTTTACAACACAAATCCACAAAATTTACAGCATTCATTTTGAAAAAAAGCTCCCCCCAACTTTTTACTTTGCAAAAGATGTCTCGACAAGAAGCCCATCTTGAATAGCACTCTTAAATCCATTTATTTCCACATTTATCATCCATTTTAATTTGTTGTTAAATTATGTAAAATTATTTCTACAAAATCTTTGTAAAAAGTATCTTTTAGTTCCACTAAAAAAAAAATGTTTTGGCCATTTATATTTTTGAATATAAAATTTTTCAGGAAAATATATCCATTTTTTCCACCATCCATTTACAAGGAGCATGCGTCCCCATGTTTACTCACTATTTTGAATTTGTAACTGTCGCTCTAATTCTTAATCCATCATTCCCTGTTAATCCTTTTCAGGCCCGTAGCCAGGTTCTTCCAAGGGGTTGGGGGGGGGGGGGGTTTTGGGGGTTCTTGGCGTGAGGTCAAACAGTCGAAGCCCCTATGGGGTCGGCGAAACCCCCAAAGCAAGAGGCTTTTTGTGCTTTATAGGTCTAAATAATGCTATAAAAGCAGATATGTTTGAAAATGTCTGTATCTGGGTGGGTCTGCAGTGCATTAGTTGGGTTTGAGGACTTATTTGGGAAATTTAAAGCGGGGGTTTCGCCAGAAAAAGAGGGGGGTTTGCTAGAAAAGGGGTTCTCCCGAACCATAAACCCCACCCCCTGGATACGGGCCTGCAAATACATTCTCGAATTTCAGATCTGTTTTTTTTTTTCAAATTGTTGGATGCCTGCAGCATCCTGTCTCATTCTATTGCATTATGGTTACACAAGTTATAAATGGTTAATGTGCTAGATTAAATAAGTTCTTCTGAAGCAATAATTAGTACTTTGCCAAGTAACATGAACATTTTCATATAACAAAGTATGTTGATCAAAGAAATAAAAGTATTAAATATATTTATCTTTTATATCACAAGGCAATGGTGTACATTTATGAAGCAATTTTTTGCCTCGTTTAACCACCCGTATCATTTTACTCTAAATGTACAATAATTGTGCATGAATTTTAGTAGAAAATACAGTGTTGTCTATTGTAATTATACATTTAGATAGGCCTAGTAATTTTGTAAAGTTTTTTACCTCATATATTTATATTTTTAAATTTGAGTTTATGTATACGGTACTTTTTCACTACAATAATTATAGATAGTCAAGCTTATCAGAGTTAAATCTGAGGTTTGTGCAATGTAAACAACAAAACTGGTAATTTGTTTACTATTTTTCTTTCGGGTTTTGTAATTGAAGAATAATAAATTTGAGTGATACGATTGGTAACTTCTTTAAACCTATAATTGTTGGACAAAATTTGAAAAAAAATGTGATGTATATTTATAAGATTACAAAAAATAAATAAATAAAAAATACATATGTAGAAAATGGATGTTATTTTTTAAAATTTATTTCATTTATTTATTAACTAAATCAACAGCAGAATGGTACACAAAACAGGAAACAGAATACACAACCAAAGAAAACACTTAAATAATCCTTGGCAAATGTCATGATTGGCATATAGTGTCTCATAGTGTCTCACTCATTTATGAAATGCGGTATACAGTACATTAGTCAATTAAAATTGAACTTCCACAGGACCTGTATAACCTCTCAAAACAGATAAAAAATAGCTCAAAATTATCCAGGTCCTGCGTGTGCCAGTTCCTCATCTGAAACTAATCCCCCTTCAACCTATATACAGTTTAGGTTTGTCCCTTTGGATATGTATCTGATTAGAATGTGTTTATAATATTACATGGCGCTGTGAATTTAGTGTTCAGATGACAGCAATAATAGATTTGTAGGCCTACTGTATTTTCTATGATAATATTTAAACTGCCAATATATGTAATCAGGCGATCAGGATATAAAGATATGGCTTCTGAAATGTATTATTGATGTTGGCCTAGTGTAAACAGAAAATACTGTATTCACATATTTCCAATTATAACGATACAGGAAAACCTCAACAATATAAAACAAAATTTATATTGTATATTGTATATTAGTACATTGTACATAACCAACATGACCATGATGATGCATAAACGGTATAGTACGTTTGTCTAATGAGAGAAACAATTTAGTCATTGTATGCATGCATGACTTGTTTTGGGGTAAGGTATTTCTCTCTATTCGTATATTCACCCTTGAATAAATAAGTGCTGTATATGGTACCGCGCCGGTACCAAATAGGCTATGTTAGAACATTATATATTCACGAAGTGCTTGTTTTTAATAAATGTTTTACTGTCGTCGTCTTTCTTCAGTATGTTCAGTCTAACATTCAAAGATTCCCTTGTACCGTATTCACCCCGAGTACTACACCCGGCCATGCAGTTACTTTCTATTTTTGTGTTATGTGTTTTATCTCAGCCTGACCTTCGCCAGGGCGAAGGGTGTAAACGTCTTTGTCCGCTCCTGGTAATGGACAAACTTTGTTATTTCTAAAATGTTTGAAGTCCAAAAAAAAGAGATAGGGCATAGGTTTAGGACTTATAAATAATAAAGGATCAAAGAGGTACAGATACATGTTTCAGAATCTAGTACAAACAATTGAAAAAAGGAAGGGACGATAGATTACCATACTCTACAACTTCTGCCAATTTTTGTTTTCTGTTCATCGCTGACAGAGATTCACTTATTTTACAACACACACACTTGAGTCGCCTTTTTTAAATGAAATTTTATTCTTCCATGATGCCATCAATTGCCAAAATAGAGGCAATTATTAGGTTGCACTGTAAAATACATTTCCATCTTTTTATTCGTCACACGATACGACTGGAAGTTTGTAACAGGAATGTTGTTCTTGCTTTCACGAGACGTAGGCCTACACACAAACATCCACTCTAATAGTATATGAAGTGAAATCCAAAGATATAAACCTAATGATTCAGTGTTTAAATAACTGTCGATGCAACTAATTACATATGACATGTAATTAAAAAAGAGGACGGATCCGAAAAAGGGTACTAGTACATGCCCTCGATAATTTTTTTATTTTTAAAACGTCCGAAAATCTGAGGCGTTTTAGGCAATCAACTATTTCTTTTTCTTTCTTTCTTTTTTCTTTTTCCAATTTACTTTCCAAAAAAGGAGGGGGGGGGGGGTCGTGGAGGTCGGCCCGACCCCCTCCACACCCGCCTCTGATTAACAGATATTTTGGTGTTATAGATTATCAGTTTTAAATGGAAATTATGTACTGACAGTTTAATTAGCAACATTATTCATTGAGAGGCACAATGACCCCGATAATGACACTGCTAGTTATAGATTATTTTCCCTAATTGTTTGGTTATATATAATAGTCATACATCTCTTTATTCATCCAACATTTGGATATTATAGTACTCTCTTGCACTCTCGAAGAAAGAAAATTTCATCAAAAAAATCTATCTAAAATGTCTATTCTTAAGAAGGCAAATTCCTCCCGGAATGAAAGAGTTATAATATCTATTCGTGTTTGTAGCCGATAGCACTGCGTTGCGTTGTATAAAGCAACCAGCAATAGCCGAATGTAACGGATGACTTTCGTCAGCAATTTATTCATCGGACTTTTTAACTAGTCGCTAGACTGAGTGCACTGTCTGCAGACCCGAACAGATAATCCTCTCAAATACCTCCTTTCTCACACCTATTGACAAACCTTTGTAGTTTGTCCCTATCACCTTTTTAAATATTTCAGCCCCAACATACTAGACAATAACTAATTAACCCAAGAATGATGGAATTATAATAAGAAATAAGTAATATTATTCAATAATAATTGAGAGGATGGCTCTAACTGCAATGCTGACAGGCCCTCTTCCAAAACAATTCAAGTACATAATCCTAACTACAATGAATCAAATTGTGAGAAAATGTAAAATATTCTATAATTATCATTGTAATTTCATTATTATAATCATATTAATATTAATAATAATAGTGTAATGAAGTTATTGATAAAAAAAAGCTTGGTCTACGATAATTTTCAAAAAAAGTATCTATACATATAAATTATAAAAACATTCCAAATAACAAAACAAAGACAAGAATATACAATCATTTCGGGCCATGTTCTTGTCATGGCCCACTGCAAAAGTTGAGGCCACTTCAGAACGGTAAGGCCTACAATAAAGATTACAATGAGAAGGAAAGCCACAAAACTCATGTTAAATCTGCCTTCCTTAAAAATTATAACGTCAAATTTGTTTTTGCTTGCCACACAATGCCTCGCCTTCAAGGATGCAGGATACGGTAGAGACTGTCTTTACTTTTACTGATGATGAACTCTTTTACTTTGATGCGGTTCCAGATCTTTGCTGGTCAACTGGGGCCACGTAATTTGCAGCCTGGTAATATGTACTCTGTTTTTCAGAATGTGTTCACTAGACCCACACGTCAAGCCTTTTCTTGATGCAATGTCAAAAGTAATCTTAATTGGTAAAGTATCACATCTATCAACCCCTCGTTTTTTGTAGCCAGTTTTACAATGCTACCAGCTGAAATAAAATAGCAAATAGGTACATCATCCATAAATGTATGAAATATATCAAATAAGATATAACAGTTTAACTTCTGAATTCATAAACAAATATGCAGGGGTTCCCAAGTCACTTCAGGTAGATCTGGTTAATTGACCTTTCTTAACCGAATCGTCTGTTGTCTTATATCATATTTTTAACTTTGTCATTTTTTGGGTAGATTCTAAAAATATCTAAAAAATTCACAGATTAAGAAAAAAAATGGGTGCCAGTTTTTTTTTATTCACTTGTAGGGCCTCGATTTTGAATTTCGAAATGGCCGCTGCCGAAAATTAGCTTTTAACAAAAAAAATTGCAAATAGATAATCGTTATTCATTTATATATCACACAATAGTCATCTTATTTTTATATGATATCATATAATGGGATCAGTGATGCATTGGGAAGAAAATAAGAGCACAAGAAATAACCCCCTCCCAGAAATCTTGCTCCCTCCCCCTCCCAGAAATCTTGCTCCCTCCCAGAATTCTTGCTCCCCCACACACCTTCCAATGGATATTCTTTTGCAAAAAAAAGTTATTCTGATGTATTCACAAAATCGCAACATATCACCATATTTTGCCATCTGAATCTCCCTAACTTAATCACTGAGCACTGACACTTAACCTTCGCCCCTTAATCTTTTGATTGAGACTTGTGGTGCTGGAGCAGCGCTATAGAAGTGGCCTGCCTTTGGTTTGGTTCTGGTGTGTAAAAATGACCTCCTAAAGGACTACGAAATTAGGAGTATATCGGAGTGAAAAGAAAGGTCTACCAGTTTGCATTGTTTGTTGAGATGTTCCATTACTTGACAGACCTTTCCTTCTTGAGATCTGTAATAGACAGTGTAGTAGAAACCACTAACTGAATGGTGTTAACATATCTGCCTAAGTTGATGTTGCACTTAATACTTTCCATAATGTCACCTTGTCCTCAGCAAACCAAAAACTCTCAGATCTGATCTAATCTTCCAGTTAAGAATTGCTTCGTCAAAGGGGACTCAAGATTAGGTACTACGATATTTTGGCATCATTGGATCATATCCTAACACCTCTTCAACAAACGATGCGAAGGTTATTAAGACACACAGTCTCATGTAAATTCTATTAAGGTTAGCAGGGACTGAATGGGATGAATACTACAACAGTCTGAACATCACCAGCAGTGCCTGTAGCATGCAGTACTCTGGTGCATGTTATACACTGCTCCATGGAGTCACAGTTTTAATTCACAAAAAAGTTTACCTTGTTCTGAAAAAATGAATTAAGAGTTGTTAGGTGCCGATGACAAAACCAGAAAAAAACATTTGACACACTGGTACTGTTCCTGCAAACCTGAGATAAAACGTCCATACAATTAAGCTCGCAAATAAATAGAGTAAATCATGGTAGTTTAAATCTTCCACCTACATCTTTCAAGAAACAGATATTCCAGCTAATCATTATGCTACAAAAGCTCTGTTACAGCACCCCCGAACCAACCAACTTGGATCGTAGGCTGATGGTCCAAGCAATACTTTGTACATTAAGCAGTTTTTTGACTGCCTTTTCAGTAATGCAAAAGGTTGTAAACTTGGAAAAGACTTGGGTTAACCTCAACAGACTTGGTTCAGATTCTCCACCAAATTGAGAGTGTGGAGAGCCATGGAGCAAATCAGCAAACAACATAAATGAGAGGAGGTCCTTGGTTTGAAGATTAAGAGCATCAGCTGCCAAGGAAGAGCTCCCATGATACTCCAACATTAAACTAACGAACAATTGAGTTTTATCACAGCAATTCACATGAACGATGCTGCTGTTTCCCATAAACTCTCCATTTGGTGGGAAAAAAGTAATTACAAAGATGCTCCAGTGATGCCAGGTAGATGTACCATTTACCTTTAGAAACTGAAACAGCGTTATTACATCTCGCATGTAGTTATCTGCTCCATTTATACAATGTAAATTTAGTCAGCTGGTACATAGCAATAATTCACATTTTTGGGTGGGGAGGGGCAACATTTCCCAATTTGTATCACTGACTGAATTGGATTGAAAGTTATAGCATTTTAGGTTTTTTGAGCATTTGAATAGTCATCAATAATAGATGACAGTTTATTTGTGTATACATGAATTTATCTCCCTTTATATATATTGTGTATACATATAATACATATTTGAATATGCAAGTGATAAACAGATGAGGGTGATTCATAATGATCTGTCTTACCTGTGGTACACCAAGAACCAGTGGCGGATCCAGGAATTTTAAATAGAGGGGGCCTGGAGAGCGACTTTTACAGATGGAGGGTCTATACTTCCTCAGAGTCCCACCATGATTGAACTGAGGTAAGAAATTCTATGATTATGGCACCTTAGATGGCCAGAAATGGCACTCCTAGACTCAAAATTTTAGTCGAATTTTCTTTTTTCTTAATTTTTTAAAAAGTTTTAACAAAATTCGGGGGCCAGGCCGACTGCCTTTCTCCTTGAATCCGCCTATGAAGAACTAGTGCTGTTTAACTATGCATGAAAGGAATATTAACTATCAGCTGCTTTAATCAGATTTGAACCGGCAAGTTTGAAAGGCAAATGGGAAAAACCCATAAAACAGCAAACGGCCATATAATGCAAAACAATTTAAAATTAAAATTAAAACGGAACAGTAGAGAAAATCCGATCAGAATGACAAAATAATCTAAGCATCCACTGGAAGGAATCCCAATATCTGCAGACGGATCCGTTTCGGCCTTCCAGGCCTCATCAGTGCAGCT